AAACCCCAGTAATTTTTGCATTATATCTTGCAGAATCGGGTTGGGAATCATCTGTCTTGTGCTGAAGTATGAATGTCTAAAAACAGCTTTGTTCATTTACACAAGTACTATAGATCTAAAAATCTATGCTGTCTAAAGTCATGGACTGTGACCTTCTTTTAGTTCTTCCCAGAGTCTGAAAAAGCTTGGATGAGAGAGCAAAAAAGAAAATAAATAAAATCATGGACTGTCAGAAAGTTTGTCTTGGGAATCCTGTCAAGAGTGAGACTAGGACATCCTACTCTGGCAGTTTTGTCTGTTGAAGGCCCACAGGGGCGGGGTGGGGAAGGGTGTCCTGAGAGTGAGAAACCTCAGATTCACTCTTTTCAGCTGTATGACCTTCGGCTGAAAATTTGTATTCTTTTTTCTTTCCTTTTGAGACAGAGTCTCACTTTGTCACTCTTGGTAGAGTGTCATGCAACCTCAAACTCGAGCTTCAATGATTACCTTGCCTCAGCCTCCTGAGTAAGCTGGGACTACAGGCACCTGCCACAACGCCTGGCTAGTTTTAGATCTGGGGTCTCACTCTTGCTCAGTCTGGTCTTGAACTTCTGAGCTCAAGCAATCCACTGACCTTGGCCTGCCAGAGTGCTAGGACTGCGCACCGGCCAAAACTTGATCTTATGGGTTTCAGTTTTCTCACCTGCAAAATGAGTCTGAAAATAGTTCTTCCCTCCTCTATGAAAAATCTATTGAGTTTGGGAGAGCTCCTGCCATAGAATAGGCACTTGTTAGAAGTTGGCTGTCATCATTATTTCATCACTGTCTTTGACTTTTTTCCACTCTTATCACATCCACTCAATTTATCACTAAGGCCTATCAAGTTAACTCTACCACTGCACCCTCTGCCCCAGTCAAGAGACAGCAAAGTAGAAATGTGAATTGTCTGGATTCCACCATCAGGTTAAGGGCTTCAAATGCTGCCTCTGCTACTTCCTGGCTGGGGTCTTGCTGTGTGGCCTTGGGCAAGTGACCTTCCCTTTTTTTTTTTTTTT